GCATGCATATATCTTCTAAGGTAACAACTTTATACAAATTATCAAGTTATCATCAGCATTATTACAAATTATAAATTTTCCTATGATTCGCTTACATAATTAGAGAAACCTTGTCACAGTTAAACGAAATTCGCAAAAATCAAATCATATCATCAAATGTAACCTCATACATTAATCCTTGAAAATGTTTATTACTACAACTAATATAAGAAATATTTTACTATATACAGGGTCTATACTGACCAATATATGTTAAGACTTGCAATTCATTTGTATATTTACACATTTAGAATAGATGACCTTTCAACCATTATATTTTTATATACATGTATATTTTGTATCGAAAAGTTGGACTCTTCATTGCGTGTGTGATTTAAGTGTATACCTACCATAAAAAGAACAATTAAAAGCAAATATACTACTTGATTGTCCATGAATTGAATGAATATAGTTTCATGGTAGTTGTGCAATGTGATCACATTTATGACATGTTCATTCGACTTAATAACGTAATTCTAGTAAAATAACTTACCTATAAGGACAATAAATTTGTCTTTACCAATATATGAAATAAATACTTTTAAACCCGTACATTTCGTAGTTTTATTTTATATAAACCTCAGAAGAATTTACTAGAAATAGATTTAAATAAATAAATGTTCTTTCTCAATCGAATAGGATAAGGATTGTTTATTTCGAGGGGATGACAATACATTTTGTACCCGTTTAGGGTCGGTTGACCCTCTTCAGGCTTGAGTTGAATGTTGTGCATTACAAAGCAGTACAAAGGCAACACACCCAAAAGTTACTAGCGTGTTAGCTTCTTCTTCTTCTGTTGGTTTTGGCCGTTTGACGGATTTCACGGGAAGAAAGCACCACCGTTTTCTGCACGTTCTACGCAAGAATTCTGCGCTCCGCAGAGAGCAGTTTTTCCTTTGATAGCCCTTGAGAAGGCAATATAAGTGTGCCTTATACTCAATAACGGGTCGAATGAAGGTTTTATAGGTGTGTATGATAGTTTTGTTGTTGGTTTTACCAAAAGTCCCTGAAAGTGGTATTAGGAGACGAGCTCGGTTCCTGACCCTATCTAAAGTTGCCTTTAGATCAACTTCCCAATTAATCGTTTTAGTGAATAAAACGCCCAAGTAGGAAGCTGTTGGGCTGGTTACGAGCCTTTCTCCCATCAAATACAGGGGTGTTTGATCATCGCGATTGCGTATGATCCATGACGATGTTTTAGGGCTGCGGAACACAATAGATTGTGTTTTTGCAGCGTTTGAGGTAACTCCACTTATTACACCATTTTTCTATACCGTTTAAAAGAGTTTGTGCTCTTCTAAAGGTTCTCGGAAAATAACACTTCCTGTTGTTAGGAGGGCGGTGTCATCTGCATAGAGGTACAGTTGGGTGTGTGGTATGTTTGGAGTGGGTATAGAACTGTTGTATGTGATGTACAACAGGGGTGCAAGTACTGAGCCTTGTGGTACTCCCGCTCGTGGAGTAAATGGGATTGATAGTTGATCGCTTATTCTCACTCTCACCGTTCTATTTGTAAGATAGGAGTGAATGATTTTAATGAATTGAAGTGGGAGCCTGATGTCAATTAGCCTCCGAACAAGTCCTTCATGCCAGACTTGATCGAAGGCCTTTTGTACATCGAGAAAAGTGGCGATGGCGATGCTGTTGCCGTTTATGGATTGTGTAACTTTTGAGGTGAAGTCTATTAATGCATTATGAGTTGATCTTTTTGGTTGGAATCCGTACTGAAATTTGGGAATGATGTTGTTTGAATCGAGAAAGTCACTGCGCCTCTCTTTTAGGATTAGCTCAAGGACTTTCCCTAGTGAGTTGATTAAGGAGATCGGTCTGTATGATTCCACATTCGTACGGGGCTTACCTTTTTGGGTATCATGATAGTGTTAGCTATTTTCCATGGAGTAGGAAAGTAGCAGTTTTTGAGACATGCATTAATAGTTTTTGTGAGAAGACGGTATTATACTCTCTGGAAGTTGCTTTAGACACCTTCTACTGATGTTATCAGGTTCCTGGAAAATTATTTTTGTCTACATAGTTAGATCAAGCAACTACAGTAGAACCCCTCTCGTCCGCCCTCGGATAGTCCGACGCTCCGGGTAATCCGACCTGCTTGGCTTCGCGGAAATCCCCGGCGGTCGATTTGTTTACGACGAAAATTTCTCCGAAAATCACAATCCATTCTGTCAGTATTATTTCGAACTTTGTGAGTTAAAGTGTGTACATTATTTTCAACATGTCAGGAGCAAAACGTAAACACGTTACGCGTTCGTTAAGTGAAAAACTTGCAGTGCTTCAAAGGCTGGACAAAGGTGAATCACTACAAAAAATTGCCAAGGAACTGAATGTAGGCGTTACGACTATTAAGGATTGGAGAAAAAATCGAAAAGAAATTGAATCACATACAATGACGATAGTAGATGGAGAAAACGCTCTTAAAAAGCGAAAAACATTAAAAAAGCCTAAACTTGAACTGCTTGATAGTGCTCTATGGATGTGGTTCAGTCAAGAAAGAAGGAAGGGAACTCCGATATCTGGCCCAATTATAAAAGAAAAGGCAATAATTTTGCACAAAAAACTAGAAGTCGGAAGTGAATTTAAAGCCAGTGAAGGCTGGATTGATCGTTGGAAAACCCGTCATGGTATCCGGTTTGTCTCAATTTGTGGTGAAAAATTATCTGCTGACGTCGAGGCGGCTAAGGAGTTTTCTGTGAAGTTTCAACAAATTGTAAAAGAAAATGAACTGTTACCTTGCCAAGTCTATAACATAGACGAGACAGGCCTAAACTATAAAATGCTTCCAAACAAAACCTTAAGTGCGTCAAATGAAACCGTAGCGGGAACGAAACTCATGAAAGATAGGCTAACTGTTGCTCCTTGTAGCAATGCTGATGGAACACACAAGCTTTCGCTGTTTGTCATAGGCAAATCTAAGAAGCCCAGGGCTTTCAAAAACATAAACTTATCATCCGTGCCGGTTTATTATCGCAACCAAAAATCTGCTTGGATGGACTGCAATCTTTTCAAATCTTGGTTTTTTGACGAGTTTGTGCCATGTGTTGAGAAGGACTTGACGAAAAAAAATCTTCCTGTTCGAGCTCTACTGCTATTAGACAACGCACCATCGCACCCTTCTGAGGAAGATTTAGTAAAAGGGGATATAAAAGCTATCTTCCTCCCACCAAATGTCACATCACTTATCCAGCCTATGGACCAGGGCGTGATAGAATGTTTTAAAAGGCGTTATCGCCGAAAATACATAAGCTCGATTTTAGAAAAATCCGAAGAAGGATGTGATATTTTCCAAGCCATGAAATCACTCAACATTAAAGATGCTATCTATACAATGGCTGAGTCTTGGGCAGAACTAAATCCTGACACGCTAAGAAAATCTTGGCGTAAGCTTTGGCCAGAAGTTATGATCGAAATTGACCAGGTCGAAGATGAGCAAAACGACGTGCAGGAAATCGTTACCAATCTTCAGACCCTGGATGCAAATATACCTGCTAGTGAAGTTGAGGAGTGGATTGAACAATGTGACAAAAACTGCGAAACCAGTGAAGTGCTGAACGATAACGAAATTGTTGCCGCTGTTATGGAACGTGACGGTGACGGAATCGTGAACTCAGAATCCGACAGTGATGATGATGACGAGCCTCCTGTCCGGATTTCACACACCGATGCCAAGAATGCTTTTGAAATTGGCCTTCAGTACATTGAGCAGAACTCAGCATCAACACCGATGGACATCGTGTGGATGAAAAAATGGAGGAACATTGCAGCTAAATCCAGAATTTCATCTTGTAAACAAAAATCTATTACTGATTTTTTTACTAAGTAGGCCTACATAGGTAAGCACTAATTTTTATGCTACCTTTTTTGACATTATATATTTACATACATATTTAATAAATAATGTACAAACAAAAGCTTTCTTGTATTTTATTGAAATATAATTATTTATTATATCACTGTAGAGAATAATACAGTCGTTTTTTAAAAACACATACATACGTCATACACAATGACTTTTTCTGATAATCCGACCTTTCTTGCGTTCCGACCATACTGCTAGTCCCGAGGGTGACGGATTAGAGGGGTTCTACTGTATTGACAAAACTGTTCTTTTCCGTACTGACCGAAAACGTGAAACGCATATGGGAAGAAATCTTCATAAAACTTAGAGAACTCGTGTATAGATGGCAGCAGAAGTAATATAAGTTAATTAGCAACCTATTATTGATAGTTTTTGTCCTACCATTTCAAAAAAATATACAATAACTATAAAATATATTTACTTCGTGTTAGTTGTAAAGTAATAAATAAAACACCATTATATTGTTATATAAAACACCTATTATTTTAAAGGTGCATGTTTGGTTGCCTAGTTAGTAGATTTTTTGATAGTAAATACATCGTAAACGGTATTTCAAAATTTAAAGTGAGTGAACGATGAAGATAGGACACAGTAAACTCAAATATGGATGTCAGATCTTTCTTGAACAAGAAAAATAATTTCAAATTTGTTTCTGTTAAGTGTTCTTATTGTATTATGTTAAATAGTACCGATTTTATGGAGTGAATGATTAAGTAGGTGAAATAAAAAACGTAATAATGAGGAAACAAGAGTTTTATTTTCTCTTCACTATACTGTACAGGTTTAAATAAACTTCTGGTACAAAATAGAATACAATCTCTCTTATGAAATTAAAAAAAAATACATAAAAAATTAATAAATAATACAAGTTGTATCGTTTGTCTTTCTATCTCTCTCTATACCATCTACCTCTAGGTTTTCTTAACGTTCTAGGTGATTTCGGGGACCCCGGCATCCGCCTTTGCTTTTTAGTCGTCCTTTGAGGCGTAACGATTACGGTTTTCGATAGTTTTTTGCTATCCAACTTTTGAACACACACGTACGGTTGCGGCAGTTCACTGTTCACTAATTTATTCGACAGTACTTTCACCCTGCTTTTAATAACATCACAACTTTGATCACTCGCACGCGACTTTGCATTGTTTGGTGCCTCCTTTCGCCTACTGTTTCTCTTCATCGTCTCCGGCTTTTGTTTCTCGACTGTCTCCTGTACGTTTGCTCCTTCCTCACAGTCTTCTGCCTCTGAATTGATCACACTGGCAGAACCGACAGTACTTGAATTTTCATCTTCGCTTTTCTCTTTATTCGGTTCTTTCTTTGACGATTTCTTCGTTTTACTCGGCCATCCTGTAGAAAAAAGTTTAATATTAGTCACTAATAATCAATTTTTAGTTGGTGAAGTTTCCTGTGGAGGTCTTCAAACTTAATGATCTCTCTAATAAAGAAATTACTATTTTAATGGGAATAAACGACTGAACTATCTTACAATAAAGTCGTCCCAGGAACGCAAGTCAGCAATATTGGCAATATTTTAAAGTCGTCTACTTTAAAATGTATAATATATGTCTGAATTATCAATATAAACGAGTTAGATAAAATTAAATTATTAGAAGAATTTTGCACCAAGTCACAAAAAACAAAATTTGTTTAATTTATTAATGTTTGTATTTTGAGAACTATTTTCAAAGTAGAAAAGTCAATAAACTTATTTTAACCTTCGATCGTGGCTTATTCCCATTAAAATAGTAATTACTTAAAAATGCCACAAGAAAATAGTTTTAGAACAATTCTAATGAAGAAATCTCTTTATCTGTGCGCTACCTTGGTGTCAGCAATATGGATTATGTCATTTTCTATGTAGAAGTCAAGCTCTGATCTATTCTGGAATTTCAATTCTAAAACGGAGACACCTTTAGACCTAAACAATATTCTTCATCTTATGTTAAAGCATAATAAATGTATTACCAAATATTCGATTTCCTTATCTAAGTATCTACCTTTGTTATTTGATATTCCGAGCCATAAATGGGACCAATTTGTTCAGCAGCAAAGTAGTGTAGAGTTTCATGTAACTTCTGATGGTTGGCAACATTTTGTAGTAATAGTCTGCTGAGTCAGCATTATTCTCAGGAGAGAAAGCAGACAAAAATTTAGGACACGCGTACACAAAGCTGTTCTTGAATTCCACTAATCCAATCCAATCTGTGCCGCCACACTACATTTTGTATATCTTTTCGTGGTAGACCTTTCTCTCTCAAAACTTGTTGGATAATTCATCGACACAATGCTGACCATCCGAAGTTACTTGAAACTCTACACTTCTTTCCTGCTGAGCAAATTGGCCACCGTTATGGCTCAGAAACGAAGGAAGTGACTTGATAAGAAAATTTAATCTTTGGTCATACATTTATTACGCTTTAAGCATGAGACGAAGTTCTCTATATACATAGAGATTTCTTCATTAGATTAGGTTTGAAGATCTCAACAGGAAACTTCATCAAATGAAAATATAATTGTATTTTCTAAATTATAAGAATAACCTTTTGTAATACAGTCTACAAACATAAAAAATAAATATGTGATTAGAAATGAATCGCTACTGCAGAGAGGCATCCATGTCTAATATGTACGAATTTTGTGTATTTTATTAAAATTGTTTCCAGTAGCAAAACGCAACGTTTACTACAAAAAGGAAACACGTCCGCATATTAGTATTGGCATGGCAACGCTTTCAATATTATATTTACTGCAGAAAAGAAACTAGTCCATGGACAAGTTCTCTTTCTGCGGTAAACAGTTGCGGCGCTAGAACTGCGTGGCAAATATTTGGAACTATCCTCACAGCTGAGTTTAATCAGACAATATTGTGCTTTGTTTATTGATGATTGTTGTCGTCTTGACTGTGGCTAATAATTAGATTAGAATGAGTGGTTCAGATGAGGAATGGCGTGCATATAAAAAGAACATAATAAAGAAGTCAAAGTGGCTAGACAAGAATACGTAAACTGGTTTGGCAAAACTGTACCAGCTAAAAAACCAGGCTCAAATTTTTGCAGGTAAATATTGTTTTATTCATTGTTAATTTGTACATTTTGGTTTAAATACCATTTTACTGATAATTTAATCTTGTACGTATTTCAAAGTAATATTAGGCTACTAAAACCTAACCTCAAAGTCATTTATCATTATCTCCAATATCTTTGTTCACTGATTTACTGTTACAATAAGTCTTTTGTTGTTTCAGTTGCAAATCCAATTGCCTTGGAGAGTTCACTGAAAAAGATACCATTGAAATATCCGCCAAACTACATAACATGACAACCAAAACGGAACAGGACATTTACATCCAATCTGTTATGGAAATTATTCAGATTGCATGGGAAAGACCCAGATCTAGTTCGTCAACCGCGAAACCCAAGGCTTTCAGTGTAATTTATTATGTAGTACACAATGGAAAACGTTCAAAAGTATGTAAAAATGGATTTATGAAAACCTATGGATACACTGCA